TAATAATAAAAATAATAATAATAATAATAATAATAATAATAATAATAATAATAATTAAATTGACTTGAATGATCATGTAAAGTCTAACCAAATGTCTGTTTCAAATCTGTGACAAGAATTACCAGAAATGAAATACTAAACATAACATAAACCTTCTAAAAAAGTCACACAAAGTGTTATCAGGACCCAACAACCATGACACAGCCCTTACGTTTATTTGATTAAAAAGAATATTGATATTACGAAGTATTATTATTCATTTAAAATATATTTTTTCTATGTGAATATATTGTAAAATATTTTTAAATTATTAATTGTAGAATTGTTTGTAGAATATTGTAACATTTTTCAGCATCATTACTCCAGTCTTCAGTGTCAGATGATCCTCATTCTAATATGCTGATTTGCTGCTCAAGAAACATTTCTGATTATTATCAAAGATGCAAACAGCTGTGCTGCCCAATATTTTAATGTGTTCTTGCTGAATAAAAGTATTAATTTATATTGCATAAGTGGGTCCAAAATAATAAGACTACAGATGAAAATGCTTCTATGTGCATTCTTTATCTTTTTTTTTCTTTTTTAGCATAACAATCTGAGTAAATGGTAAAATTTCTGTTTATTTCCAGGTTTATAAGACTTTCTGTATATTTGGTGGTAATGCAATGTAGAAACTCACCTCTTTCACCTTCCTGAGTAACTTCAGCCATTGACTGTTGGAGACAAAAACTTTAATATCACATTCACTAACATTTGCTGAAATTTCTCTTAACATAAAATGAAATTAACATCCACCTGTTGGAAAAGGTAAAGTGCATGTTTTGCCCACAAAGGATAATCATTCAAGAAGCTAAAGTGCATGATTGAGTTTGACATGAACTCACGTGCACTCGTCTGGACTGTCTGAGAGCGGGAGGAGGAACTTGTCTTGGGGCAGGATAAGGGCGAAGCAGCTGTCTCTGCGGCCTCCAGAAGGCAAACGGGGCAAATCCAAGATTTCTTTACCCTCCACTATGGACTCACAGTTACTCTGCAGCGCCACCACCTGGTCCGGCGGTGAGTCTGCATCTCGGCACACCATCAGATTCCCTTCCACCGTCAACACCAGGTACTTTTCCTTCCATTGTTTGAACATGAAGCCACCTTAGAGAAAAACAGAAGCACACTGTTTCCCGATTCTCAAAAAAAAAAAAATGTCTAAAAAAGCTAAGAAAATTGCATTATTCCTTTAGAAAATGTTACTGCCAAACCTTCTAAAAAATATATTTTTTCCACTTCAGGCTGAAAGTTTCAGGTTCAAAGAGATTCTCAAAATACTGTAAGCATAAGTATGTTTTTTTTTCTTTCATGCATTTTTGGGAATCAAACCCATGACCTTAGTGTTGATAATCTACTGTATGAGCTATAGGAAATTGAATTATTTCATTATTTCAACCCCCCTCAAATTGGCTTACATTTTTAGAGTCAATATTTGTGTACTTACAGTACATGTGTACTTATTTTTTTATATGTATATATATATATATATTTTTTTTTTTCTTTTTTTTTTTTTTTCTCCAAAATACCTGAATTACAGTATTGAGGCAGTGGAGCTATAGTAGACCAATGTGAGTGTAAATATGATGAAATACTCAAAGACAGTAAGAGAAACTTCTGTTCAGTTAAATATCATCAAAAAGACTTTCAACATGTTACTCCCACAAGTATGATGTTAGAAACATCACACCTTTTTGTAAAGGGGAAATATAACATAACAGGGAAGATAGAGATTATATTTTTATAGAATTATATTTTACATTATATTTTAATTTGAATAAAAGCAAAACTCAAGCAGAATTTTACTCTTATGTTTAATTTCTTTCTCTTGACATTACATGCCACAAAGCACTTTTGATGAATGGCTGCTAGGCTACTTTTAATTTTGTCATTTCATCTGAATATGCACTTTTGTGAGATTCAGTCATTGGAAGGTGATTGAGATTGAGGTAAGACGGGCTCCCAGATTTGGCACAAAAGTGCCCTGAGTGGCATATTTATACTAACTTTATTATTTTAAAATTTAAATACTTATTGTTATTGATAAAGTTTATTATTTAATATTTGTAGATTTACATTTAAGACATCTTTGCATTTCATTAAAACCTATAGGTTATTGCCAATTAAATATGCAAATATTTAAATGAATCTCTTTTACTGGATTCTGTCAGTTAATCAATTATTCAACTAAATGAGATCTTTGAATAGTTTTACATTTTGTGGTGTGAGAACTAAATGAGCAACTGTTTCTGTTTGTATACTCTAATAACACATTGGCTGATGCATTATCATAAACATCATCATCATCCTGCACATGCTAAACTACTGCATACTGTTCTTAAGGGGAACACCTTCCCTTATCTTACCCTATTTCATACTCCATTTAACCCTAAAAATATAATGGTGATGAATAAAAAATAAAACGTAAAAATAAATAAATACAAATTAAACAGTTTAAATCTATCAAAAATTCAGCATGTTGTTTTTTTCCTTATTAATTATTTCAGCAGTAAGTCATAAGGGCACAAATGAAGCTTGGAAGAGCCTTTTTAGACAGTATGCTGGTTAGGGTTAGGAGTACAAGCTTGTTGTTTTTTTTCTGGACAAAGGTAAAATATTTCAGAGCAGACAGGAGAGTTTTATAGTATAATTTTTTTTATTTATTTATTTATTTCTGCAGGTTTCATCATAGCTGTGTAGGGAAACTGATATTCTGTCATACTAAAACTAAGTCATTATGAATTTAGTCATTTTCATCCCCATCATCATCATCATCATATGACCTAAATAGATGAGACGTACAGAGGGTAGAAGCAAAGTGGACAGGTGGAGCTGACACACTTTATGCTGTGAAGGCAACAGATAAAGAGCACAAACAGATAGCTCACTGTCAGACGATAGGATACTGCTGTTAAAGTATAATGATGGGTATCCATTTTTCGATGGACATGTTGTGTAGATCACTGCAATTGACAGCTAACAGAGATCTTGTCCTATTATATAAGTAAAATAACATATTTTCGGTTATTCTACACTGTTTTTTATAAAAGCTGTGAAATGTCATAGCTAGTGATTTTATGTTAAATGTTAAATGTAGTATGACATTCTGGACTGAATGTCGGCAGTGCAAAACATAATGTCACGCTCGTGACTTTTGCATCAAATAAGCTATTCAAATACCTTTCAAAAGTAGTTATAAGTATACAAAGTCTACCATGACTAAAACCAAAAGAGCACAATGAAAATATAAAAAATGTACAGTGTCACCAACCATCTGTGCAACATAAAATTAGATTTAATGCATTAACTAACAATGAGCAATACTATCTTACGGTATTTATTAATCTTTGTTAACGTTAGTTAATACAAATACAACTGTTTATTCTCAGTCCATGTTAGCTCGGGTCCATTAAATAACATTCAAAAATACAACTTTTGATTTGAATAACGTATTAGTAAATGTTGGAATCAACATTAACAAAGATTATTAAATGCTTTAAAAAATATTTTTCATTGTTAGTTTGTAACTACTGTAGTTAACTAATGTTAAAAAATGGAACCTTATTGTAAAGTGTTACCAACAATTTTAAACTGTATTGATAAGTAGCATAATGGGTGGCACACAAATGTGACTAAAACATTATGGAACAAAATAAGAACCAAAAACAAAAAGAAGGCGGCAAAGGATAATAATGAGAAAGTGTAAACCTTACCATATTTCCTGAGGAATCCTTTGTGCACCACCGCCACACTCATTCCTGCACCCAGCCAAGCAGCAGAGATACAAAGAGATGCAGAGCTGCAGCTTTACTCTCAATCTGAGAGAGAGACACTCACATAATCCGCGCTCATTTAGGACATTCCAGCAGCCAGCATGCTGAGCAGGGCATTATGGGATTGTAGCGACTGCATCTGAAAGGGAAGACACAGCAGCGCTCATAAACATCACATGCACACATAAGCTGCTAATCATGATCAGAACCCAGAGAAAATCCCATCGAGCTGGAGGTTGACAAATGACATGTTAAACTCTCAATATAGAGTATATATACTCTATATAATACTTAAATTCATCAGAACATTGCACAAAAGTAAATAAACACAGTCTGCTTAAACAACACACAAACAATAATATGTTCCACACGCTGTGTACACGTTCACAGCGCAGGTGGAAATGTAGTGCAGGGCTTGGGCTGGGGGCCCCTGGGCTTGACTTTATTTTTGGGCAATACCTACACTACATATGACCTCAACTAGAACATCATTATGGAGCAGCCAGGACCGGCCCTAGCATTTTGGGGGGCCTAAGCAGATTTTCAAAAGGGGCACCCACTACCTACGGTTTCACCTACAAACAGACTGTGAATGGCTGTTTGAGAACATGTGAATACAGTTTGACTTCTTTCTTCTCTGTGACAAGCAGGTGTCTGAAACACAAAGTTGTGATTGTACACAGGGGTAACCATTGTAACCACTGCATTTCTGCTGTTTCATAAGCGCCACCTGATGTCAGAGAGTAAACTTGCATTTTATTTAGCCTGTCTGCTGCTTTAGTTCATCTCAATGCAAAAATCAGTATTACATGTGTTACTAGGGTTGCCACCCATACCAAAATATGTAATCATCCCGTATTTAATGTTAAAATGATGTGTTTCATATCAAATCAATATGGGACGTGATTTGTCCTGCATTTTACAAAGGCCAACACATAGTTGAATCAACAAATAAGTATTTTGCACTGTTTATAATACTAATAGCAATTATAATGAAATCAATTTCATAATAAGTATTAGAGAAGCTCATTCGCGCGTGATTGCATTTTGGCGTCTTTGTTTCCATAGCGTCTCCCTAGATGCGTGTGGTTAAAGCCCTTTCACGCGAGTGCAGCATGCACTAAACCTGCGCAGTTTAAAACCTCTGGAGCTCACATCTAGTGATGGGAAGTTCGGTTCTTTTCCGCGAACCGGTTCTTTCGGACAGTTCGTTTCAATGAACCGGTTCTTTTACGCTATAACGTAATGACGTCATTCGTGATGACGCAATGACTATCGTCAAGGGCCGGGATGAAAATACATTCAACATATTCAAATATATAAAGTTTGTAGTCATTGCTTCAGTCAGTTAAAACATCACCACGATCTGACAAGTTTCTTTAAATTAAGTTTTTCCACTAAGCACCCTAATACAGGTACAAGCAGTGATGTGTAAACGAGGATGTTTTATAAGTATTGAAGATAAAGTGAATAAATTAATTACTTCTCATCAGCGCAGAAGCGTGATCCACATACTATGCATAATCCATTACGATTTATTTGTTATTCAATAAACATACATTTTGCCAGATTGGTCCCCTCATTCAAATCCTCGGTTTACACGCGCTCATAGCATTAGCACACAATCAGTTGTCCAAAAGAACCAGTTCGGTTCAGACTGGTGTCACAGGCTGTCATGTACTGTTCAGCAGCTTCATGCTGAATCACGCATGCACAGCATCATCCGCTCATCGGTTCTCAAATCGGACGTGTCCGAAAGGAACAGTTCTCGGTTCAGTGTACCGGTGATCCGAAAACCGATGCAACCGGTTCTTGACTCGAGAACGAGAACCGCTCCAGCAGTGGGTGTGTACGTTCGTTATCCGCTGCAGGCACGTTCAGTATATCAGCTGCTCTACTCGTGCTCATCATCGGTTCTATTTAATACAAACTCAATTTGTGGATGTGTCATCGTTAACTATAATTACAGTACAGGTATTTCATAAATTATCCCTTGTTCCAATTAAACATAGAGTCTTAATTATTATGGTCCAACTTCCCTGACTGAGATCATAAAAACCCCTTCATCCTATAACCTAACAGAATCATCAACTGAACAAACATAAACATAAGTTTCAATATGTTTTATACTATCACACTTTCTGATGTTCAGCAAAATACTTGAAAAACATGCTTTTCGTCCTTTTGAAATTACACGCATGCGCAGTATCATCAGCTCATCGGTTCTCAAATCGGACGTGTCCGAAAGAAACCGGTTCTCGGTTCAGTGTACTGGTGATCCGAAAACCGATGCAACCGGTTCTTGACTCGAGAACGAGAACCGCTCTAACCCAGCACACTGCACGCGCGTTCAGTATATCAGCTGCTCTACTCGTGCTCATCATCGGTTCTATTTAACACACTCAATTTGTGAATGTGTCATCATCTATAATTACTGTACAGGTATTTCATAAATCTTATTATGGTCCTTAACACGCATACATTCATCTTTTAAAAATAAATAAAATGAGTAATGCTTTAATTTGCTCCATCAGTTGTTTCAAAAACTGTAATGCAGTCGAGGCAAACACATCCTCATACAGTGACAGTAAGTCATAATCATAATTTTCGATATGTTTTGTATCATCACACTTTCTGATGTTCAGCAAAATACTTGAATAACATGCTTTTCGTCCTCTTGAAAAAGCTGTTTAGTTACCCACATTCTTTAAAGTATCTTCTTTTGTGTTCAACAGAAGAAATAACTTTATGCAGGTTTAGAACAACCTGGGTAAATTATGACAGAATTTTCATTTTTGGGTGAAACATACCTTTAAAGTGACAGACACATCCGTGCTTGCAAAGTTATAGGCCTATTGTTTTATTAAAATTTGGATAGTCCGTTAAAATAATATTCCATCCATTATCAGAGCTTGGTAGACATAATTATTCTACTTTTAGACATTATTAGACAGATGATTTAATAGATTATAATTAATTTTAGACCCTATTATTAATTTATTATTTATATTAATCATAAATATATACATAATAAATAATCATACAGGCTTTTGTCATATACAATTTGGCCTTTTAAAAAGTTTTAAAAATTCTAAATTATTTAGATAAAAAAAATGGGACAAATGATTACATAATAATGTAGTCCTAATTTAGGCAAATGAATAAAAAAATAAAAATTCATCCCACATAGGTAACAGCTGCTGAACTGTCAAAAAAAGACTAATAATAATTAATAATTGTAAATAATCAAATTTAAAATAACAATATTAATGTGTTCTCTTGCAAGGTTACATACTTAAGCATGTTTTCTCATGGTTTATTGTTAAGCTATGAATTCCTCACTGATTATTTGGGGTGGGTCATGAATGGGTGTGTTACGACCCGGCTCAAAGTGGAAAAAAAAAACAAAAAAAAGTGACATGACATGTGGCCAAGTATGGTGACCCATACTCAGAATTAGTGCTCTGCATTTATCCCATCCAAAGTGCACACACACAGCAGTAGCAGTGGGCGTGTACGTTCACAGCACTCATGCTCAGTCTATCAGCTGCTCTGCTCGTGTTCATCCCATCATCGGTTCTCTTATTACAGCAGTTCAGTCAATGTACTGTTGGAGTAACTGAATAACTCGGGATATTGGTTTATTTCGCATCAGAGGGAGTGTCAGGCTTGCTCAAGGGCACCTCAGTCATGGTATTGAAGGTGGGAGAGAGCGCTGTACATTCACTCCCCCCACCTACAATCCCTGCCTGTACGAGACTCGAACCGAGTGAGTTTCAATAAAGAAGATATATTTATTTAAAGTTAAACAAATAATGTCTAGGGTCAAAATATTAAAGAATAATGAGAGGAACAACAAATCAAATAGCTGTTGGAAATGGGGTTTGTGGAGTTGTGGCAACAAAAATGGGAACACACAATCTCAAGAACCCACTCTTCAAACAAGAACACAAAACAAAAATGAAAGAGAACAAGCCAAAATCCATGAGCCTCTTAAATAGAGTGTCCCAGCTGTGGCCCATGATCAGCACTGCACTCCCGCCCATCAAGGAGGAGCCTCTGTCCCTGCAATCTCACAACAAAATACAAAGGAAAAAGGGGTAGGGCTGTAACAGGGTGTCCCTTATTTTGCCTCGCTGAAGGTTGCAACCGTACCAGGCAGCCATCAGCTGAATATTAACGTCCGGTAGGGCTGGGTGATAAATCGATAACGATAAATATTGCGCGATATAAATTTCCTCAATAAATGATAACAAGAGGTCAATACATTTTCCATATAATCTTTATGAGGCAAAGGCGGAATGAAAGAGCGCAACTCATTTGAAGCGCGTCAAGGCTGATTTATATTCGACGCGTCCGCAAGTTCGCTTGGGTGCGCGCGGCGAATATGACGTCATTGCAGTGTTGGTGGAAGTTTGCTTTGAGAGCGCGCAAACTCAGTGTTCAGGTCGATTCTAGCCGAGCATGCACGTCTGTGTCGGCATTTGTGTGAAACAGAAGCAGTTTGATGTGAAGTTCAAACTCCATCAGGTGCTTTTTGACGCTTTGACGGAAAACAATGCATCGTTTTTTTGCATAGTTTGTCCAAGGCTTTTAATTTGAAGTACGTTTTATTTTATTTTTATTGTATAAAAATAGAATTAGAATTCATTTAGATACTATTTATACACTATTTGCTTAAAGTTGTCTTGTGTCTGATGCGAAATAAAGCCAATAGTTTAAGATTGTTTTTATCAGTGCTTACATAAAGAAATTATTAATTCATCAACTCATTCATCACACAAGAAGTCTTGTACCGGCAAATGACTTCTTCTCACCAGTGATTCCCAATGGTTTTAGAGGACAATTACTCCTCGTCGCCCCCTGTCGTTTCAAAGAATAGTACAACGGCGAACACGACAAGTATAAAAGCCTCGTCCGTTTGGGAAGGTGCATGAGCAGTCAGTGGAGGCTCGCAGAGCGGAGCCAGGTGAAAGTATAAATCCCGCTTCACTCGGAGCGTTTATCCACTCGGATCGAAGTTT